GTCCTGGGTAAGTTTTCAAAAAAAAGTTGTTTTTTTTTCAATTGTTATACAAAGTACATTGAACAAAGATGCATTGATTTACTCTTGTAACACAAGATAACGTTGAACAAAGTTGTATTGATTTACTCTTGTAAATTTAGAACGTGGTATGAATAACTTTAGTAAAAATATGTGCAAACATTTTCACGACAATTAACAAACTCAACAGAAAATTTTAAAATCCCGCTCTGCTTTATTATATTTCACGTCACAAAAATGATTCGAATTTTGACGAGTCATTATAAGGTCATTACATGACACATACTGCGCAGTACTTAATATCTTAAAATATAACACAAGTGACAGGGGATTCGAATTCATCATTCTCATCTAGAAGAAATATCAATTTTTTTTTGACAAACTCAAGTATTCAACAGGTTTTAGAGAATACTTGAAATCGTATTATCCGCGAAATCACCTAATAAAATTTAAACAGTGGTAAGTAATAAATAAACCATACAATTTTGACTGTTTTGTGGTGTATTGTAAATTATACCATGGTTTGGGTTTCACGACCCTGAGTTTAACCTCACGAGACGAAGTCGATTATTAAAAAGAAATTATACCATGGAAGCCATGTCGTGTGATTTTAAACTTATTTGACAACCATATAAATTAGACTTAATAAAAATAAATCACCAAGATACTGGTGTACAAGTAACGGTAACTGGCATAATGCGCCGTTTCTTTATTCCTTTGTTTTTAAAGAAAGTTGCACGGTGTAACCCATTTCGCGGATTCAGCGATATCCTAATATCGTAAATGTAGCAACTTTTGTTTGACCAAGTATACGCGATTTCATTTCGAGTATTCTTGCCAACCTGTTTAATGCCCATAAAGTTATTATATACCTTATATGACATATTCTCAACAAATAAACCACAGTATTTTGACTACATGTACGAGAAGAAGTTCGGAGTCTTTTGTTGTATCTTTTTTATTTAACATCATATTATATCCAACTTTGGTACATATATTTTAACAAAAGATTCGAATAACTTGTGCAGCAATATACCTTCAGTTGATTAGTTACGCAACAGCATGCTCTACGTATGAACAATTTTTAAAACGAGGTAATTTATTGACAAGCAAGTTGATGAAACAAGAATATTAGCAGTCTCGTTTAAATTCATCGTAAGTTCTATGGTCGATACAATAACCTTGTCAGAAAATACAATTTATCTTGAGTCAAATCCTGACTGACGTTTTTCATACCAATTGTTAGTCCATTATTTATTCACTGAATTGAAGACGGATTTTTCTGTATTTCCTGATCATGACAAGGAGCACACGGTGGGTGTGACCGGTCAGCAGGGGATGCTCACTCCTCCATGGCACCTGATCCCACATCTGATGTTTCGGAGGTCCGTGTTTGCTCTGCTTCTATTTTGTATTGTTTTACGGACGTTGAGATTGAATATTGTTCGTTATCTCCACATCCTTCTTGAGTCAAGAAAGGCATGGAGATAACGAACAGTATTCAATCTCAAAGTCCATAAAACAATACAAAATAGGAGCAGAAGTTGACGATAGAAAAGTTAAAGTCATCACGTTTATCATATAGCTTGGTTGTTAGATTAACGTCTTTTTCAAGTAAAATATCCAAGTATGAAACAGACGTGTCACACTCTTTACTATCTTTTATCTCAAGCTCACCAGGATATATCGTATCAACGTAGGAATGGAAATTACCATTGTTAATTGACAATACGTCGTCGATTTATCTAAATGTCGAGTTGCAGACCACAGCAAGTGTTTTCTCCTTTTCACGCATAAGATTTTGCACGAATTCTGCTTCAAATGAATATAAAAATAGGTCTGCTAATAATGGAGCACAATTGGTACCCATGGAAATTCAAATAGATTGTTGGAATACCTTGTCTCCAAAAACCACATAGATATTAGCAATCATAAACTCAAAAATCTCTTTGATGTCAACTTCAGAGTACTTGGGTGTGCAATCAGAATATGTTTTAACAAAATAATTTTGCAAGTGACCAGTGACCAGGTATGTAAATTTACGAGTTCTTTTTTAAAAAAAAGCAGCCGTCAATGATATCAAATAGCCTGGACTTTAATTTATCGTGGGGAATTGTTGTGTATAAAGTTGAAAAGTCGTAAGTTTTTAAGCCGTTGATTTTGGTAAAATCTTGTGATTTCAAATTGTCCAAAAGTTCTTTTGGAGTATCCACATCTGATTCACACTGCTTCTTGAATATAATGTTGCACAGCACTCTTGAAGTTTTTCCTTCACAACTGTCAATATTTTAGTGAGGAGTAACGAAAGAGGCTTGGTTGAACATCTACTGGAACCCACAATGTATCTTTGTTTGTAATGATTTTTATGAAGTTTCGGAATCCAATACATATATCAGTCATTCCCGTATAATTCATACAATTACCAAGTCCATAGTATTGAAAAACGAATTTAAGAGCAATGATATAATTTTGTGTTTGATTGATAAAGTAAACATCCTTTGTTAATAAAATGAAATTTTACACGTAAATCTTTCTTCGTTTTGTTTTTATGGCCATTCCAACTCACCACATGCAAGAACTCCGTAACGGAGGTTATAACTCAGTAAAAGCAGCTGTAAAGTTATTAAAATCTTTGTTCATGTTTTAATTTTTATTGAACTTCGAAGCTTTATCAATATACAGCTAAATTATAACAGAAGAAATTCTAAACTGCAAACATAAAAAATATTGACTAAATATGTGTAAATCCAGATAACAGAATTTTTGGACAATAAAATAAACACTATTTTCCAGTAGGAATATTGCCAAGCAATCAGAATATTACATTACTTGACCACTTGATTTGAAAAATGAAAGGTTACATCTTTAGAATGAAAGACCTTTTCTGATTATAAATTGACCACTTTTAAAAGAAAAGTTGATATACAAATTGCTCCAAAATTGTAACGGAGGTTACACAAACTCATTTTGGAGATTAAAAGATAAAAATACTTTGTAAAACGTGTCAAACACACTTTGAAAATGATGTATTTACACAATTAAGAGTAAAACTAAACTGTTTTCCCCTCTTTTTTAAAGCAATTTACCAAAAAGTGTGTTTCGTTACGGAGGTTATTATGAATATCTAAAAACAAGAGTAAAGCGAATTTTAGACTTCCTATCAGCTTTACAATCTTATTTCGCTCAGCATTACTAAGGGTCAATCAACTTACTCAAATATTTATTAATATGTTACTGTTTTTTTTAACTGCAAATGTGAAAGTGAAGATTTAAACTTCTATAACCTCCGTTACAAAATTCGTTTCGAAGAATCGGTGTGAATGCGTTTACCTAATGGTGAATTTAAATAAGAATAATTGGAAAACATACTTTATTTGTAAAGAAGGGATAAAAATATTTTGTTTTAACGTTCTTTAGGCAAATACATTTATTTAATAAAAAACCCAAATAATTTTAACCTCCGTTACGAAATACCTTACTGAACCCTGTAATAATGAAGTGATTTATTGAATCATTGTGAAGTAACTGTCACCATGGTCACACATAAGCATAATTTTTTAAGAAAACTTATTTAATATATCAGAATATGTGAAAAATTCACTAAAAGACACGAAAATTCACTTTTTGCAGAAAAACCCAACCTCCGTAACATCGCTGGTTTTACGTATAAAAGAGCATAATTTCACTGTATACCGCTGATAGTTCACATAAGGGTTTCCTTTTTGTGCCCATACGCATTACGGAATATTAGACATTTACAAAACGAAAAAGAAACAATATAATTATTACTTGTAATATGCAAAAACATCTAAGTTAAGGCCATTTTTACCACAACATTTTCCAAAATACCTTTATTTTATGCTTTAAACTCATTATGATTCTTATATTCCATTTTGTTGTCAACTTAAAGAGTAAACTTCAAGCATTATCTGGTAGATTTAAACACCTGAAATATTGCACACGTCAGATTTTGTTGATTTTCTGTTACGGAGGTTAGAGGTTACGGAGGTTAGAACCATCAATAATATCTTTATTTCTGAATTGTTGTTTAACTTTCCTTACATTTGTTTTTTGTTTACTAGACATACCCATTGGTGTCAATCAACTGCCTTGAAATAGTACTTCACATAGCCTCTGTTTCTTCACAATCACTGTCACGTAGGTTAGGTTCTTATATGCGACATTATAAAAAATCCGTATTTTTAAAAATTTTGAACACGGATTTATTAATTTGCTTAAAAAAGGATTCTGTGCTAAAGTTTTAATATATATTAGACACAAAAACACAGTTTTAGCTGTACTAACGATATATTGTATTATCTTAAAAACTATTCAAACACTGTTACGGTAGGTTAGGTGAAATTTGGCGACAGCGATGATCAAGGTCTGTTTAAAAAATTGTTATTCATTTACCAATTAAAGTTTCATTTATGTGATTTTGACATGTTTCTTCATTAATTAAAACAATTTTTGTTTGTTTAGAACAAAATGCGACCAGGTTATGCACATTTAACCAGCAAGGTATACGTTGGCGACATCGCCTTTTACACGATTCCGGACTTCCTTTTGTGTAAATACTCGGAGAAAAAATATCAAAAAATATAACAGCTAATGTTATTTTGTGTGGCAAAATATGTTAACATAAAGGGTCAAGGAATAATTTGAATATCAGTAACCATAGCTTTGAAATGTCTTGAAATTTATTGGCGACATAGCGTTTTTTCATTTGTATGAATTATACGGGAATGACTGATATAGGGTAGTTCAAATTCATTTTTCTCTGTGGAATACTATATGTGAAGAATTAGAAATATTTAAAACTGACATATGATTTACAAACGTAATCTATTTAAAAAGCGGGTCCTGGCACTTTTTGCGAATTAAATCCTACTTCTTCTAATATACAATATATATTTTATATATGACAATGTTGTTTGCTCTCAGCAGGACCAATACATACTAATCATGTAATCTATTTAAAGAGCGGGTCCTGGCACTTTTTGCGTATTTTTTATATATGAGTTTTTTCTCCGTATGTTAATGATATATATTTATTGGTCAATTCTTTAAGTATATAACATTCAAAAACTAGATATTTTCAGTGTTTTGTTGGTTAAAAATAAAAAAATTGTAATCGGTGAAATCTTCGGCTCGTTCCGTAAATCGCGCCTCCAGAGATCGGATGTGACGTCACATCAAGAACACGAGGAAAGATGGTGCGAAGATGCGTGGTTGGTGGGTGCAGTAATACCAACATAAATTCATCCCTGCACGAGTTCCCATCAGACCTAAATGTAAGAAAAAAGTGGGACAGGTTCGTTTCCTCCACACGGAAAGATTGGAAGCGTGGGGTAGATACATCAGTTATTTGCGGAGACCACTTTATAGTCCCATCAGACTTCGAGGGTTACCAACAGTGGCGGAGTGGGTTTAAGAAAAAACTTACACTCAGGCCCGGGGCTGTACCAACCATCCGTTCCCCCTCATCATCAAAGCCTGAACAACAACGACGGGCTGTACAAAAGCTTAATATATCAAGGGTAAGACGAAATAAAGTATTTTAAAATGTTGGATAAACATGTTCGCAGGGTTCAATATCCATGCATGTCACAAGTACCCAAATTAAGATGAGATATCAACTTCAATGAATGAAAAAATACATGTACATACAAAACGTAATGGAGGCATATATATTTTAAGTAGAAACTCCCAAGATAAGTAATGATTGATTTCTTTAACAGTTGTTTGATGGCGCTTTATCGGGACACACTGAAGCTGTAGACCTAGAAGTCTGTGAAAGGTTGTCACAAGCAGGTGCTTCCACTGTAAGTCCAATATGATTGATTGAGTGTGCAATAGGAAAAATATTAATAAAGTAAAAGATAAATTAGCTGGAGATTTAAAACAGACATAAATTTCTCCCATCTGTCATCTGATCTGATTCATGATTGATAAAGCAATTGCAAATTGCTCACAAACTTTTTGTTTGAATATGTTCAGTGTTGGTCAAGTTTTATAATTGGAGTGCATCAATACCAAAATGACAAGTTCTTAATGTTGATGCACTAGAATACTGGTTTACTGCATTTATTAGAACTTACATAAAGCATTAAAAGTGTATTTTTGTTTGGGTTGTTCATTTTAGATTCCTTCAGAAGAAGATGAAGTCAGAGATAATTTATTGAATGCTGAAGCAACTGTTGTAGGTGACTTAGTAAGTATAATTTCATGACTGCAAGTAAGTTGTAGACCAAACTTAATGGAGAAACTGTCACATTTGCACATTTTTGAACTTGGAGCTGGAAACAGATTGTAAAGGGGATTTGTCTGCCATATTCAGTCATATAACTAAGGGCCCCTTCAAATGTTGTTCACTCACTCACTGTTCAGTGTAATCAATTGACACCTGTGTAGGTAACTGATTGCTACATAGCATTTAAAATAACTTTGTATTTCTTCCATGATGGGAGAGAAATATACCATAGAAACTAAACAACAGTTTAACAGATCAGAAGATTATACAAACAAACACAAATACAACTGCAATAAATGCAATACATTTGACAATAAGGCAGTCAGATTTAAAGATTGTGAAAGGAATGCCCCATAGCTGATATCCTAGATAGTGAAATTAAATACAATCTAATTAAAATTAGTTTGTAGATCCTCTAGTGTACTCGCTTCTAGCATACTCGCTATACTAACATCGCTAGTGAAGCTACACTAACATCGTTAATGAAGCAAGTATGTGAGCGAATTTAAAAAAATATTCTAATTAAGATTGAATCTAATATAGCGTATGCCTAAAATATAAATTTAAGAGTTGTGTTAAGCTCAAAACCTTTTAATACCTTTACTTTGTTTTTAAAGAATCGCACTATTTACAGGTTTCCAATAACATGCCACATCAAGTTGTATGTTCACTTGAGCCAAATAAAGCACAGGATACAGTAAGTTATTGACATATTTAATAGATAAATTGCAGATCCAACTCAGTATAATAGAGTTTTTGCCCTGTAAAATTCACTTTAAAGTAATTACAGAATAATAATAAGCTTCATTTCTAAAACCATCAGTGCTCCAAGTCACACTTGCTCTCAGGTCGCAAAATGGCGACCTAAAAATTTTTTGGTTGCCATTTCAGAATTTCTGGTCGCCATAATCAAATATTTCACTCGCCATTAAAAAAAATACAATTTGTTACTAAAACTTGATAATTTAAATAAGGATATGTATTATGTCTTTATTATATCATAAATTACTTATTACTGTGACTATAAAAATTTGCTAGGTTGAATGAAATATTTTTATTGAATACATGTACCTTTATAGTTGTACAGAAGAACACTAAGTAATCTGATTACAGGAATAAAATTTTATCAAATGAAAATACAAGCTTGACAGCTGTTGAGACAGGACTTTGCCTGCTGTTTGTCATGTTTACTTACTACTACGTACCTAACCCATTACACAGTCATTATAAATGCTGCCAAAACTCTTTATTAGCATGAAAATACAATCATGATTCATTGTGATAAGCAAGCAATTGATCAAATGCTTCAATAACAAGGTCGGATCTTAAAAAGTGCCATGCTGTCATAACATTACGTGATCTAAGTCCATGCAACGCTTTGTAAAGTGTATTAAAGTATATGTCTTCAAACATTTTCTTGATAGAGAATCTTTACAAAAGAATTTTCGATCCCGATCTTAAAAATTGGACGTTTCCAGCCCAAATTTTCTCAGTCGCGAAAATGCAAGTGTGTTTTCATTTCTAGTCGCAAAATCAATTTTTTGGTCGCAACATGGAGCACTGACCATTTTTGCTAGGTTCATGCTGACACTTTTGATTTTTTAATTGATTTAAAGCAATTTTTATAGGCTGTATGTACAGATGAAACTGTAGTCTTTCCTGTTGATGACCCCCCTAAAAAACAGTCGAGGGGAACACAGTTGGGATTGAAAAGAGAGAGCTACAGAAGTATAGGTAAAGTAGTGTGTTGTGGATGTTGTAAATTAAAACTTTTTTTCTGATCACAGAGCCAAGGGTGTCAGTTTATTGTTTGTCTTAATTAAAGGGGGGGGGTCCATGTCTGTTATATTAAGATTGAAGAGTCTTATATCATGGGATACAAATATAAAACATTACACCCTTTTTTAGGTATTCAGGTAGACATGTCTGAGAAGTGCGAGACTTGTGATGTTGGTGTTCAGTGTGGGGAGGCGGAACAAATGGAGGATTTTATGGATAATAGTATCTTCGACAACACTGCAGACCAGAATTCTGACACTGAAAGCTCCACTCATGACATTATACAAAATGATGAAAAGTAAGTACACATGTTAAGCTGAATTTAAAAATTCATCTATAATACCCACTGGCCACTGCTACACATAATAGCTGCAAGGATTTGTGCTATTAGGCTTTAAAGAGCTTTTATAGTTAAATATTTTATGGTTAAAAGATTTGAAGGTCTGTCTCTGTTTTTCTGTTTGGAAATTTTTACATTTTTTTTTCAAAGCCACACAAGACAGATAATCATCTTTGATTATAAGAAAGGTCAGAGGTCATTGTCAATAAAGAGACAATTTCATTGATGGTAATCGGAGGTCATATCTGCTTTCATTGAACCATTTTATCATTTAAAATATAGCATTTCACACCCGCTTTTGAACATTTTCGTTTAAATATTAATTCTTAGAATATCATGTAAATATAAGTCATATGACGTGTTTAGCATTTTCTGATTTCCCAAATATTCTGTGATTACTGGTTTTAAATCTTGCTAGAGCTGCTTGATGCAACATCAGATAATTCTAACGGTATGCTTTAATTTTGTAGTACTGAAGAACGGCCAATGGAGGAGCCAGAACCTTGCCATCTGGAGGAAAAGTTTTTAGTATTTAAGTGGCAGCTTCTTCAACTATTTCAGTATTGCCCAAAATGTCATCTTCCAGCTCGTGGCATTGTCGATAAGAGAGTTGGAACTTGCATTCATATAGTGCAGAAGTGCTCTGCGTGTAACTTTGTCAATAATTGGGCAAGTCAACCTTATATTGGCAAAATGCCAGCTGGAAATCTTCTTCTTTCAGGTAAGGCTGTATCAATAATATATCAAATTTTCGATACATATCGATATTCAAGAACATAGTATGGAAAAAATAACTTAACTCGAAATGGGTTTTAAAACAGTTTTTTTTTTTTTTTATAAAATTCATGCATTGAATGAATTGCATTGTGTAAGACTTTTTTGATATACTTGTTAAAGAATCAAATTAAATCGGATATTACATTATAAAATATCATATTGTATCGATTTTTTGTACTCAATACACAGCCCTACTTTCAGGTTCCATTTTATATTCTGGCAGTCTAAGCAGCAAGTGCCTTCTAATGTTCAAGTTGTTGAATATGGCTTGTTTTGGACGCAGTACATTTTTTAGGTAAGAATTACTTTTCAATGTGTTAGAAACTTGATTGGTTTATAGTCAATGTCTTATCTGGGTCATTCATCAAGGTGATTGTTGATTTATCAATTATATTTGGGATGAGATGGTTTAATATAACATTTCACGAGCACACTTTATCAAACATTCCAGTTCTAAGTTGTTGGGCAAATCCTGGAAGTTTAAAATTTATAAATATTTTGGATTTTCTCTTCTGCATGATGGTACATTTTACAATATTTATGAACTTCATCTTCAGGCATCAACAACAGTATGTTTTGCCAACAGTTGTGCTACATTGGAAGCAGGCACAGAGTACTATTCTTGCCGACTTAAAGTCACAGAACAGAGGGTTGGTGCTTGCTGGTGATGGACGCTCAGACAGCCCTGGTCATTGTGCGAAATATGGTGCATTTACTTTCATTGAAACCAAGATCAACAAAGTTCTAGACATTCAACAAGTGCAGGTACTTTTATATATTATCATTATTATTTTGATTTCTTCTTCTTTTTTTTTAAATCTTTTTTTTTTTTTTTGCAAGGTGATAAAATTTTGATATTAGGCCAAGTAAATTTAAAATTTTGGTTTTCAGGCCCACACCATCTAATTTGAGGTAGCAACATTCCAAATTTTATTTAATTGATTAAAATGCAAAGTTGGTTATCATTTCCCATTAAACCATTTGCAAAGAAACTTTGCTACCTCATTTGAAAATACATTACAAGATAATGCTTACGATGTTCAAATTTTGATAATGAATAATGCAAACCTAATGATTAGACATGAACAGTATGGAATGTAAATCTATGATCAAAGAATTTTTATCATTATTTTATAGATAATTGGATACTTATCACCATTAAAATGATTTAAAATAAAATCCTTCCTCCCAAATTGAACTGAGAACCAGGGAATTTTATTTATGTAGCCTAAAAACTGAATTTACTCTTTTCTAATTTCTTCTTCATAGTTGGTGTTGTTGTTGAGAATTCTTGGTGGCACAAACATTTACACGTCAAATTAATGCTGAAATCTTTTAAGGTGATTGAAAATATGATTGAGCATTGCACATTTATCTGAATGAATTAAAACTGTCATTTCATTCTTATTCAGTTGGGGGGGGGGGGTGTAAAAAGTTATTTATTCTGGCTAGTAAGGTTTTGCCATCAAAAGCCTGATTGGGCTTGTGAGGAAAAAATTTGATGCATACTTTTTGTGTTGAAAAGTTTTGGCATGATACTAAAACCTTTGTTTTTTTCTAGACTTGATTTTGTTCACCTTTATTTTCTGGAACAACTACATGTAAATCTTAATCAGGTATGTTTATCACATGTATATCTCAGCCAGGTGTGTTTATCTAAGTTATGCATAATCTACCTCTTGAGTGATTTGGAAGGACTATAGAATAGTTCTTGCTATTTTCAGTGAATGAGCCAGTATGTTTATTTTTCTTAATGTAAAAACAAAATCATGCTTTCTTCATTATTCATCAATTCATGATACATTTAGACAGAACATTTTGTAGAAGGCGTTTAAGAATACATGTATGATTCCTGTTCTATTTTTTCTTCAGAGTAATGAAGTTCCAAATAGTTCATGGTGTGAGCATGAAGGATTAAAGAGAAGTGTAAGATTTCTGAAGGATGAGGGGTTACAGTTAGACACCCTTATTACAGACAGACACAGACAGAATAACAAGTGGATAAAAGAAAATCTTGATGGAACAAACCACTTCTATGACATCTGGCATGTTGCCAAAGGTATCTACTAATAAATGAAGAATAAACGAAGTGAACAGTACGGATATATTTAAATTATATTAGAAATTCAAGTAGTATAAATATTTACAAGTATATATATATTTTAAACAAATTTCTGATGAGTTTAACACATGAATAAATTAACTTTGTAGGCACAGGAAAGAAACTCGATGCTTTAGCCAAGGTCAAGGATTGTGATATTGTTGGTAAATGGAAGCAGTCCATCACCAATCATATGTATTGGTCTGCAGGTTCTACACCTGATAACAACGGGGATATGATTGTTGCCAAGTGGGAGTCGGTCATACAGCATGTGCAAAACATCCACACCAACCACCCGAATGCTCTTTTCCAAAGATGTCTTCATGATCCCCTGGAAGAAGATGACGAGCGGGAAATAGAGTGGCTTAATCCAAGTATGATTTTTTTTTGCCTTTTCAAATACAACAATTTATTTTTTCATATTTTAATCATTCTGTAAAAAATTTCAGTCATCCAGAATACATTACAAATGTAATTTATATTTATGTATATTATTTTTTTCTTATTTTTAGCAAGCAAAGCCTTTGAGCAATTGGAAAAGATTCTTTTAAACAAGACCCTCTTAAAAGACATATCAAGACTTTCCAGTCAGGAGCAGACTTCTTCGTTGGAGGCTTTTCATAGCTTGATTCTCCATTTTGCTCCCAAGAATACAGCCTTTTCTTATCTTGGAATGTTATGTCGGTGAGTGAAATGCTATAATACATTCCAACACTGAGGTGGCCGTATGATGAATATTACTGTTTTAAAAATAACTGGCACTCTCTAATATTCTGAATTGCTGATCATTGACCAAGAAAGACACTATATGCTTTAATTAATTTGTGATTTTTTTTTTTTTATAAATAACCAGACTCTACTTGGCTGGACTCCATTACAATGAGAATTCGGAACGTGACCAAATGTTCACCAGACAAGGAGAACCATGCTTCACGATCAGGTACCCAAAAGGAAGGAAAGGACAAGCTGTTGTACGTCCTGACAAAACTAAGCCTACCTATGGTATGGGATCATATTAAAGAAACTTTAAGTTGATCTTGAAACATTCATGTGTTAAACGTTATTTTCATATAAAAACAGAGTCATTGTGTTAATCTTCTATATCACCTGATTTTTTTTAATTAAATCGTTATTGAAGGAGACAGTAAGTTGAAAAACTTTGTATTTTAGATTATGCCATGCACCTCCAACAAGAGTTGGTTGATCGATATATCCAAGGGCCAAGCCAACTACGAGATTCCATCGATAATCTACGTGCTAGGGTACCTAATTTTCTATCCGCAAATGCAGATCAACCGGACAAGGCAGAGGCTGTGGAGATGTTCGTGTCCAGATATAACAGATAATGACACTTGATACATCTATTTGTGTCTATATATTGTGCTCTGTACTAATCTAATTTGATTGTTACAACCACATAAAATTGTAAATGTATACCATAATTAACTCCATAGAAGCCTTTTTAGCAGAATGCACAAACATCTTGTTGTTGATTACCAAAACCAGTATGTACTTATTTTATTGCCTCTAAGGTCTGACAAGTTGTAAGAACTGTTTGTTGAGAAATGCTACATTCGGCAGTTTTTTTAATTGTTGGAATGAGCTTACCTAGGTTTCTAGTTATTTGGCCACTCAAAGTTTTTGTATTGTCCATCATTTGCAGGAAATGCATTTCTAATGCTTGACATTACACAGGCTGGTAAAGGAGTACGGTTGTTCTTTCCCAGGAAACCCCAACACCATCTTACTAATTGACGATAAGCCACATATCTAAACTTCCTAAAATATTGCACATTTTTGTAAAGATTGTGCTTAATATACATAAAATGTGTTGGATATTTAAATGTGGATGAATGTTTATTTTTTTGTTTAATGTTTTGTATTTTATGTAAGGTTTTATTTATTAAGACACTCACTGATGCTGGGGTTTTTGTATCCTTCCCCAATCTTGTCTGTAAGCATAATATGCTGTTTCTAAAACCCATGGATCCAAACAAACACTTTGAAAACCAGGATGTGATGTTATGCAAATAAAATCTTTCTTGGTCTGCTCATTTCCTTCATTTATCTTAGCTTTTGTTTTGTCACATTCTTGACAGCAAAACCTGTTGTCTGGACATTCAATAGGTTGACATGTACCACATGTACACCTAAAATGCATAGATATTAATTATTTATTGCCATATTTGGAGAGGAGTCTTTAATCTTTTGTTTTAGGGATGAAATAGTTTTTAAGAAATTGTTGAATGTTTACCCGGTACTACTTGTTACAAAGGAAAGTTTGAATTTAAGTCTGGTGATTATGAATCATTTTGATTACAACAATAATAATTTATTGCTGACTGAGGGATCATCCTGTGAAGTGACCATAAGACACTTGATGTCTTACATCCTCCTTCCATTCTGAGAATCTGTTGAGTCTTGCATTTTGACACGACACATTTATTTTGGTTGAAGACTGGAATTCTGTACACTTTAATAAACATACTTTTGTCAAAGTAGATATAGGTACACTGAGTTTTTGCATCTTTCTAAGCAAAATAATAAGTGAAATCAATTTGTGTGGTGATTGATGCATTCCCTTTATGGTTTTCTATGTCCTTGTCATACTCATAAGCGCTTGATTTCAGGGGGTGGTTTCTAGGGTGTCTAAATACTATTGTTAAAATAAAAAAAAAAATTGCTGAAATTAGCACTGTTTATATAAATATTATATTAGTATTATTATATTTTTTAAAATTGCCAATTTCAGCGATTTTTGTTCTTTATTCTAAGATTGAAGTTATCAAGACACACACACAAGACCCCACATAATGTACACAAAATATACCCTCCTATTCCTAAACCAAGCGCCTGTGTCTATAATACTTAATCGTGTATATAAGGTAGGTTCATAAGTATAAATTACTTGACGCTAAAGGTAGAGTGTCTAACCTATAATTTCTCAGAAGTATCTCGGCGTGAAATATGGAAAGGGGGCGGGGCGAGGTAGTTTACCAGATCTCCGAAATCTCGGACTAAAACGAGCAAAGATGTTGATTTCATGTTTTGAAAAGAATTTTAACATCAAGTTTATGGTACTATTGATTTATTTGCGATTAATAAGACATTATTTAAACAAGTGCTTAGTCACTATAAACACAAACCACGAAAGATCCTCCTCCTCTCTGACTGGGTTGGAATCTGGAGCCGCGCTGTTTCCGACGCCAGAGTTACTGTCAGCTCTCCGAGGCTCAAAGCGATAAGGTCGAACCCCCATACAATCTCTCTGATCATTCTCCTCTCCGCTACCTATTTCGTTAATCGGCTCCGGTAATGAATTGTCGCTGTCACTGTTAAAAGAGTCGTCCGCAGACATGTTGTGTTCTTGATGTGACGTCACACTGTTAAAGTCTCGTGTACTCTCATAAAATCTCGCGTTCGCTCGGCAATCTCCGTAGAAAGGAGAATTCCAAGGTATGTTTGGCAAGAATAAATACGTGTTTTAATCGCTCAGAAATTTATTTTTTATGAAAACTAGCGTCTATTCAACAAATCAAAGTCTTTTATTTTCGCTCTTTATGAGATGTATGTCTTATTATGAGAACATATCCAGATAAAAGCTTCTGAAGTGTCAATATAGTAAAAATGTGCCAGGACCCGGTCTTTAATTCTTTTTTCACCTCTGAACTATTGAATACAGAAGGATAGATGGGTCTTTTTTTCATATCTGGCCCCTATCTGACGTAATTTTAACAGAATCCATAATGTTTATGACATTCCGACGCCAGTTGAAGGATCGGGGTTCCCTATATTTAGGACCTTTTAAAATACTGTAGACGTACTTTTTTCCACGGGGTCATAATTCTGCGGAATCTCAATTTCTGTTTAATCCGCGGGTAGAAATCTACACGGATTTCCTAGACTGTCACTATAAGCCTTACATTTATATTAAGTACACTTGGATAAATTTCCGCGGAAAGTTTGTGACCGCCTACATAGCGTAAATTAATACTATGCGGAAAAATGTACTTCTACAGTAAGTGATCTAAGGTCCTCATTATTAACTATATTTACGTCACCTGTAATAACGTGTCCAGCAGGACTATGGTTATAGGGCGAACAAAAGAACTTGAACACGATGGAGGATTATGTTTCAGATACTCAGTATCCAGGCCATGTAAAGTTTTTTGTAATTGAAAAGTTTGGAAGCAATGGTCGATGTACATTTGTAGGAAATACAAGGTGAAGTCTTTAACTTGAAATATGGTGGAATACAAGACTGGACCCTTTTGTGATTAAGAATATTGCTTATATTAACCGCGTCAATTCCTTTATTGGCATATTGAAATTTAAGGAAAAGACGGATTGTTTTAGCTGCATTTTCTTCCGTAAAACGTGCGGGTTTAAAAAGCCTATGATTTGCAATATCCATAATCACAAATCCAAGCCTAAATTCTGGAGTCGAGGAATCAAAAATTGGACTTTCCTTGGCCTTTTCAAGAATACTATTTAAAAGTTTCAAGGGAACAGAAATTGCAATATATATCTTCATATTTATAAAAATGATAAAAGATTTAGAACAGCGAAAACGGGGTCACGAAGCAGCGTCAAAATTGAGTATTTTACTAATTTTCAGTTTTTAATATCTATAGCTATACCTCTGCTGAAACAAGATAAATTTACATGTTTAAATTACTAGTCTTGCTGCACTACTTAAGTTGCTATAAGGTAATGTAATACAATGCTTAGTTTAAAAGATATCAATTTCTGACGACATATAGACTTGATTAAAAAAGGCAAAAAAAAAAAAAAAAAAACAAAAAAAACAAAAAACATGATGTTAGAGGACGTCATGGAGCAGCGAGTAGCAATAAGATTTAGTTTTGTTTTGCATTCTAGAAACTTCTTAGACAAACTTAAACTGTTGGACAAACCAGGAAATATACAAAAATATACGCGTTTGTATAACATAGGTAATCAAAGATTACGAAGCTCACCTCGACGAATGTTATCAGTTTAGTAATGCAAATCTCACATCATATTTTTTAATAGTTAGTATTTATCCTGAAAATAATATTCGTGCAAGTTCTGTTTAAATAGATTTTAAAATTCATTGGGGATTGACCTGTTCCAAAAACTTGAACTTGGTCACTCATTTGGAAAATGTAGGTCAGATCCAGCAGCCGAACCAAGTCTGGTAGTGTCTACTATCAGATGCATCATCAATGCAAGTTTGGTCTAGGTAGGGCTTATAGTTTCTTGGGAGTCACTTATCTGGAACATGTAGGTCAGATCCAGCATCCGAAACAAGTCTGATAGTGTCCATCCTTAGATGCATTATCCTTGCAAGCTTGATTTGGGTAGGGCCTATAGTTAACAAATCTATTTCAGTTTCTTTCAGAGATTCAATTCTACAATACATTTTGTATTTATATATTTTATACGCAATAAAAGATATTAGTAAATTCACAGATTCAATCTTATCGGGGTTTTTTCTAGATAAAAGCCCAGAACAATGTGTTTCCATTTTATACCAATAGATAAAAAGGTTCCTAGTTTTTTCCAAA